CTACCACTCCTACTACCCCTACTACTACTACTACTACTATTACTACTACTGCTACTACTACTACTACTACTACGACTACTACTACTGATACTACTACTACTGCTACTACTACTGCTACTGCTACTACTACTACCACGACGACGACTACTACGGGTCTGCGGCAGGTGCTCATACGAAGTTTAGCTGTTCTCACCCTGTCGGGCGCTTTCTGCCACAAGTAGTGCTGCTGGGAAACCCATCGAGTAAGCCTCCAACTATGGAGAGCCTAACATGAAGCTCAATAGCTTCACACCCCGACTAAGACTTCGTACCCTTGTCAAGGGCTTGCCTGAACCCAAAACTAAACCCCGGGACACTTTTTTTGAACCCAGCACCCCGAATTCCCTAAACCCTAAACCCTGGGACCCTAAACCCCGAATTCCCTAAACCGTACCCTAAACCCTGGGACCCTAAACCCCTCACAGCCCTAAACCCTAAACCCTAAACCCTAACCCCTAAACCCTACTTTAAACCCTTGTTGGACCCTCCTGGCTCACGGGAAGCTTCGGGGCCTCCGGATCTCCGCCCTTGTCTTTGCGCAGGAGGTCGATGCCGATCGTCATGGCCCTCTGAAGGACTCAAAAAGGAGAGACATTCAGGGAAGAAAAGAATGTTGAAGGAGAGCTAAACAGGTAAACTGCACTGACCATACTTGAAAGAAGAAGGAAAGAGCAGCTTAAGACCCTTGTGACCGCTTGGCCCGGGTGCCTCGCGGCCCGAGGTGCGAACCTGCACATATCGTTGAGGGCTTCGGAGTCTTGGGGGATCCAGGGTTCAACACCTTAGAGGCTTGAACTTGGGCTGTGGGTACAGTCGCGCGACTTCAAGGGCGTCTAACGTTGAGTGCATGTGTGCTTCTGTATCGACACTGGTTCCTTTACCTTTTTCTTTCTCTCTGCGTATGAACGCCATCATTAAGTTGCGCTCCTGCCTTTCCGGTTCTCTTGCTTCCCTGGCTAAAGACACCACATCCCAAACTCTGTGGCTTATGAGGCGAAGCCCACCTCGATAGCCTCCCGAGGCAGAGAATCTCCGCAAGGAACCGGCGCCTGGGAAAGGCAAGCAGGATAGCGGTTGCTGTTGTTATGATAGTATTTGCTCTTACTGTAGTCAGTGTAGTCGCGACCCAGAATTATCGTTGCTACTACTGTGGGCATCATCAACATTCTTGAAGGTTGCCACTGTCAATACAATCCTGTGGGGCCCTGGGTGTCACTATTCATGTGACGTAAACTAGGCTTCCTACGGCTAACACCAGTCCCTGTTTATGAAGCAGAAGCAGCTGCTGTCTGCTTGTGCTATTGCTACTGTGACCGCGACGACTACTACTGCCACGACAAACACCAACGCCACAACCGCACGACCACCACTAATGATAATGCCACGGCCACTTGCTCCTCGACATGGCGTGCAGACGACGGTGCGCGACGACCACAACCAACGACGACAACGAGAACGACGACCAGGACGAAGACGAGGATGGGGACCAGGGTACGACGAGCAGCATAATCAGAATCAGCATCATCATCATCATCATCATCATCGTCATCACCGTTCTTAAAACCGTCGCATTATCAGCATTCAGTACGCCTGTCAAGCTTTTGGAGGGTTGGGTCTCTTGAAGCTGAGGGATGTTTGCCTGCGAGAGTGCTTCAGGTCCGGAGCTTCGATGGCACGCGCTAGAAAGCTTGCTGCCAAGCGACAACGACAGAAGCAGTACAAACCTAGGCAAGCTACAATAGCTGGAGCCAAATCAGCACAAGCAACACATCCTGAGACTGAACAGCAACCATCAGAGTCTCTGCCAGCTGCCACCAAACAGCACCCTGGGCCCTTTTCGCTCCCCGGAGCCACTCGCATTTGCCTACGGAGTCGAGCAATTCCAAAGGCGCGCTGCCCCTGTACACGTCTGGGCAGCCTCGCAATTTCCGACGGCCGAACCCAACTTTGGGGCAGAGGCCAGGTCGGGTCATTTGAACCGCCGCGTCTGGTCCGTGCTCCAAGGCATCTCCGCACGCTTCCGCAGGGAGCCGGAACGCCGCCTGGTGCAGAAATGGCCACCAAGGAAAGGAGTCCGTGCCACCCCCCTGCACAGGTTCCCTGGCCTCCAGATCCCATCCATAGGGTCGCCTGCCAAGGCCGAAGTCCGCAAAACAGGGAATGGTACCGAAACCGGTGCCCTATGCAGCCTTCAAGCAACGGCTCCCAGATGTCAGATCCGTCCCGCAAGTGCGAGCTGGCAGCGCTGCTCTGCGACTCCTGACACGGCTCCATGCCTTTCCTTGTAAGGCTGCGGTCCTCTATGCCATCACATAAGAAGAGCCACAGCCCCTAGAATGTGGCCGACAACACAAGTCGCCATCGTCGTCGTCGTCGTCATCATGTGGCCTCAGAGTGATAAAGATCTTCTTCTTTTCTGCATCTTGCGCATCGTCAATAGCAGAGAGAGCCAAAATATCATGTTCATCATCACCATCATCAACAACATCCTGACTAGCACAATCGAATATTCGTCGTCGCCACTCTTGACTGCGACCCTGCAACATGCAAACGCGCGATGCTATGATGACACTCATCATGCCGATGGTGATGGTGATGGCGATGGTGATGACGATGATGATGATGAAGATGATGATGGTGATGAGGAGGAGGAGGATGAGGATGAGGATGAGGATGAGGATGAGGATGGGGATGAGGATAACCAGATCACAATTATGACAACGATAACGATGACGATGCCCCAACATTCCGCAACCAGAGTGTCCTCCGCGCAGGTATGCTCTTGCCTGGCCTGCTCGGGACAACACAATTGCTTTGCCCCCCATGCGCACGGCTTCAACACCTTTAAGGTTGATGGGGATCTTCCTCCACTTGCTTTCCAAGGGCGTCGTCTGTTGTAAGGAAGACGCTGCACTTCCCCAAACCTGCGTCAAATCACCCTAGCCTCAACCACGGCCCTGGCCCCTGCGCTGGGCCTTCAGGTGACGCATCGCATGTCGCAACTCGGTCCTGAGCTCCTGGGCCCCCTCCTGTCGGCTTGTAGCGTTGGCTTCTGTGTCTCGAGTTTAAGTTGTAGGTTGAGGGCTGATAAGTTTTGGGCTGACACCGTGCGATGCAGCGGCGAAGCTGAGGACTGGAAGCCCGATCCATGCTGGCAGAAGGATCTATACACCTCAGAGGTAACCATCGTGAAAAAGGAACAATAACAAGATTTCCTGCGTGGAGGAAGGCGACCCTGCATAGGCCTCCAGTCCGACGACCTCAACCTTCAGCCCCCAAAACCTAAACCCAGCTGATCGACGCTTCAACCATGCTTTCGCGCAGTTCTCAGGCTTTCTGGGCTCTGTGCTCCGGAACTCCGGTGTAAAAGACGTCTCTTTGCCTCCCACCAACTTCCGGGCCCTCCGAACTGCGCAAGAATCTGGCTTAGGGGATCTGGCCGCTCGCCTAAATTCCTGAAGTCCTGGGAAGAGACTGCGATCAGACCACAGGTCAACACTACTACTATTTTTGCCAATGTTCTACTATAACTAGTGACTGTAAGAGCTGTCTATTGATAGTATGACAGCCTCACCTCCGACAGAGACACCCTGGATATCTCCATGGGACTGGGCCTCGTAGGCTCGTGCCAGTCGATGCTGCGTGGCCGCCTCGGGCACGGGAGCTCCCGGAAGTTCCGACTTAAAGGCGTCAGGGGCTTAGGGTTAGGGTCTAGGGGTTAGGGGTTTGGGGTTTGGGTTTTGGGGTTTAGGGGTTTAAGGGTTTAGGGCTCTAGCCCTAGACCCCAAACGACCTGAAGGATCTGCCCCCCCAAACCCGTAAGCGCCACACAGCCCTGATCAAAGCCCTTAAACCCTAAACCTCTCAGGCCAACCCCAACAAAAGCGCAGAGCCTTACGGTAAACCAAATCCCCCTGGGCCTGATCCTCCAGCTCCGACGCCTGCCTCCGCAGCCTATCCTGGGTTCTTGTGTTGAGGAGCCCACGGTCAGGGTTCAGGGCTTCGCGCTTTGGGGTTTTGGGGTTTAGGGTTTTGGGTTTTTTCGACTTTTTTGGGGGGTTTTAGGGTTTCGGGTGTAGAGGATCTTAACTTACCATGCTGAGGAAAGCAAGACTCTAGATCCATATGTGGTAGCTGAAATTAGACTCTGAAGATTTGCCACAGATGCATACTTCGGCCACTCAAACTTAAATTCAGACCTGAACCAAGCCCTAAACCTCTTAAGCCTTAACCCTGAGCCATAAAACCTTAAACCTTAAACCCTAAACCTTATCCACAAGAGCCCGGTATCCCGGCAAGTCGTGGCTTTCTCCAGGGCTTTGCGAAGCTCGGCCACCTTCCAATCGGAGGAAGTCGTATCGCAGAGGTTTCTAAAAACTAGGGCCACAGGCTTTCGCGTGTCGGGTTTAGGGTTCAGCGTTTAGGGTTTAGGAAGGAGGGTCCGTGCAATGTGTATCCTAGTAGCTAGGTCCTGGTACTTAGGGGTTTCGAGCTTTCCTTTGCTGAGTATCCCTGGGCTGCAGCAAGCTCCTCAACAAAAACTCCAGCCTCTTGTCCCTCGGCTGACCTCCGCTAAGTGCCCCCCCCCCAACATGCCCCATCCTCGTAGTCTTCCCCAGAGCACCAAGCACCCCAACACCAAAGGCCTACGCAGCCAATTACCGAAAACCCTTGACCCTGAGCCCCCCCCTAAACCCCAAGCCAGCATCGTGGCCTTTTCCTGGAGCTTCCTCTGCTCATCTCGTTGGAGGGAGCGTGCCGCAGCTGCGACCCTGAGCTGGTCATTCTGGGCCTCCAGGCTTGCCAATGGAAACAAGAGTAACAACATCAAAATAAAGATGTATAATACTAATAACCATCATAAGTACAAGAAACATAGTCATAATCATAATGCCACGGCTGATGCTAATGCTCATGCCAAATGCTACTGCTAATGCTGATGCTGATGCTCATGCTAGCTGACGCTCATGCTGATGCTACTGCTAATGCTAACTAACATTAATGCGAGCGCTAATGCTAGTACTAATACGAATACTAATCCCAATCCGAATCCTACTCCTACTCCTACTCCCAATACGAAGACCAATACGAATACGAATACTGATAATTACTCATACTAATACTGATACGAATACGAATACAAATCAACATAACAGTAGTAGTAATAATAATAATAATAACACCAATGGCAAATGTAGCAATGACATTATGATCACAACAATAGTAATTAGTACGAGTACTGATGGTAGTAAGAGCTGTCTTAATAAAGATAAGCAGAAAAGAAGCAATGAATAATAATAGCAGCAATAACGAAAATATGATGATACAATGGAAATGAGACTAGTAATATAGCCGGGTTTGGTGGTTTAGGGCTTAGGCAATTTACTGCATTTCGGGAGGTGGGCAAAGGTCGTGCTTCTTTACGCAATCATCGCTCCCCCCATCAGCTCCGAACCTTCAGCGCCCTGGACGGCTGCATGGGGAACTCCAACCCAGAACAGCACCCGGAGCCCACAGCTATTGGCAGTGTAGAGCCCATACATTTCCCAGCCTGTACCGAACGGAGCTCCGCAGACAGCCGGAGCAGATTTGTGCGTGTTCCCTCCAGCTGCTGGAGCAGAGAGGTGTCCGCTTGTAGCCTTCGGTTCTGGGGATGTAGTGTAAGGGTTTAGGAGGCTAGGGCCGCTAGGGGAAGGCGAAAGGTCAGCGGCGCGGTAGTTTCTGTTTCGGGGGTTTAAGGTGCTTGCGTGAGCTTCATGGGGTTTTGTGTGGGGATTTGATGTAAGGGTTGAATGAGCATACAGGGCCCGTCTTTTCCGAAATCTTAAAGTCAGTACCCAGATTGTAAATAAAGGCAAGGATACCCAATATGACTTTGAAAAACTCTGAAAACACCTTAAACAACTGGCCCTGGTTCGGGGGTTTCAGGAGCAGCGGTTTCAGAGTCGATCCCTACGTACCGATTAAGCTGCGAACGTCAACTAAAGGAGAAAAAAGATGCTTTCCCTGTGGTTCCACGCTGCCTCTGTGAACAGGTCGTCACGGCAGCTTGGGCGAGGATCTGCAGCTCACCGCGCAGAGACCTCAGCTCCTGCAGGTGCCGCGACCCACCAGCCTCCTCGTTGGCACGATGGATATTGCGGCAGCAGCAGAAGCAGCAGTACCAGCAGCAGCACCTCCTACGACTACGACTACGACTACGAATACTACGACGACTACTACGCCGACTGCTGCTGCTGCTGCTGCTGCTGCTGCTACTACTACTACTACCACCACCACCACCACCACTACTACTACTACTACTACTACCACTACTAGCACTACTATCTCAGCTTTTCCTACGGCGCGACCAACACACCGAACTACTAGCGAATTACTACAATCACCCCATGTTGCAGCATACTGCAATCGTCAAGTACCGCATCTGACGGAGCTCCTCCTCTTGCAGCTTGGAACTCTGCTCATTTCTTGCCGCAGCCTCTCAAGCTGTAAGGTGTTGAGGGTTCTGGCCTGTAGGACGAAGTAGTTAGAGGTAACCATAGTAAGAACTGTTTGGGCACGTGTTAATAGCCCTGGTAGCACTGGTAAGAAGTGTCACGGCAAAATCAAAAGCATGGGCCGGCCTGCCGGAACAGGAGCTCTCGTCTGCAAACGTCCAGTGCCATTGCGGCAGCCGTGCACCCGGACTACGACTACGATGGGGCAGCTGCAGGCATTGGCCGCGCGCGACAAGCGGCATGCATGTTTACAATCAAAACATCCTTCGGACATAGCGCGATTGATGGCCAGGTGGACACCACACATCACTGCGGCAGTTGCTTTCCGAGAGTGCAGACAGCTGGTGCTTCGGAAATCTTGGCATCACTTTGTGAGCCAGGGACAGACCCCTAAGTCAATACATAGACCTGCCGCTTACAAGCAGGCTTCGTCGTGCAAGTGCCAGCTGGGAAAAGACCTTGCAGCCCTTCGAAAACAGCGGAACTTGGGACCAGAAAGCTCCATAAGGAGTCCCTGCGGCCTTCAGTCTTCCACTAACCAGTTCTTGGGCAGGAGCAGCTCAACTCACAGTGCTGCCGAACGATCGGGTGGGACGTGCAGAGGTTGCTTGCCATTCGGCAGTTCATAATCCCGGCGAAGTCCGGATTGCCCGCCGGGATATTGTCCATCAGATCCTAGACGGGCATGACACGGCTTACTCGACTTTGGGCTAGCGGCTACTACTAACAATAATAGTATAATGATATAGTATACTAATATAGTATTATAATATAGTATACCAAATAATAGAATATATTATACTATATAGTGGTTACATGGCGGTCCTGGTCGTTGTCTTGGCCCTCGGGCCGACATTGACAGCTTGAGGGGCAAAACTCAGCGTCTTCGTCTTGACAGCCTGGGTTCTTGTTAAAGGGCTTAATTTAAGTTACTATAATAAGAAAACCATATTATTTACTATAAATCCCGACTATGGTAACTTAAACTAAATCCCTTAACAAGAACCCAGCAGCAGGTGGAAGGGCAAAGGATGCTCAAGGGCGCCCAAATCTGGGAATGTCCTGCACAGAAGCTCGTCTGAGTCAGCTCTTCGTATGCATAGCTCGAGTTGCCCAGTGCTGAGCACCCCTCAGTTCTCATGTGATTCGCGAAGACTCGCAGCTCGTCAATTTTGGACGTGTTCCGCTCTCCAAGGAAACTGGAGATAATTCCGGGGTAGTCCTCCCAGAATGTCTGCCACTGCGTAGACTCCACTGGAACATCGGTGCAGTTTATTTCGTCGATTACGGCCTTCATTTCGTCAATACCTGCAGACATGCTCTCTTGTGGGGATTCTGGCTAGGCCTACACAAAGGGAAAAGCGGAAAAATAAAAATATGAGCAAAACGAGTCTGGTCATGTTCAGACGACACTTTTTGGAGCATCCCCTCTCCACCACTCGGAACCACGGGTTCGTAGATGGCTCAGCGCACCCGCATGTGACTCCACACGTCAAGCGCAACAGCTCACCATCTTCGTTGTTGCAGTACTCTTTCCTGGGCAATCGACATGGCTGGGTTTATCGTCCAGGCTTTGGCCGGACTCGGTCATGATACCTACGATACCTACATTCTTAATCACAAACCGTTTGAACAACAATCAGCAACGAAGCAATGAGCTCTTGACACAAGGTTCATGTCGTGACACGAAGAATTCTGTGGAAAGCCAAGGCCGGGTGCTGTGTTGTACCAGTAAGGGGCGTAGTCGTTTGTCGTGGGCTGCCCTTCCACGTAATAGAGGTCAAAGTCAGAACAATCTAATATCAGCGCCGCCGCTGCAGCCATCAGCTCAGTTCGTTTGTTCTCAAAATCAGTTGCCTCTTTAGGCATCAGGATGTACCTGGAAGAATAGGACGCGTTCCCAAGGTCCCGAAAAGCAAGGTCACTGACTGCGATCTCGATGAGGCTCAAATTGCTGCTGTCTCCAAACAGCGTCGTCTCTCGCCCGACCGTGATACCCTGATTTGTGTTAATGCCAACGACGAAGTCTTGATTCCCGCCACACAGGGTCCTCTGACAAAAAAGCCAAGCAAAGCGACTTGGGAAGCAGCTGTGGTGGCTACTACCATGGACCCGGCCTCTTCGAAGTCCTAGGTCCTAGAGTTTCCAGGACGATTGCCGGTATTGAGCTGTCACATTTATGTCATTGCATCTCTTTTGCATCTGGATGGATGGTTTTCATCGACGCACTTTGCCATTGGCAGAGCTGATTCTGTGGTCGTAGTAGTGCTGGCAGGACTAGCAGCAGCAGCAGCAGCAGCAGCGGTAGTGGTAGCAGTAGTAGTAGTAGTAGTAGTAGTAGTAGTAGTAGTAGTACTAGTAGTAGTAGTAGTTAGTAGTTAGTAGTTAGTAGTTAGTAGTAGTAGTAGTAGTAGTAGTAGTAGTAGTAGTAGTAGTAAATAGTGGTGGTAGTAGTAGTAGTAGTAGTAGTAGTAGTCCTCGTCGTAGTAGTAGTTGTTATTAGTTAGTTAGTAGTTAGTAGTTAGTAGTTAGTAGTCAGTAGGTAGTAGGTAAGTAAGTAGGTAAGTAAGTAAATAAGCAGGTCAGCAAGTCGGTAAGTCAGTCAGTAAGTAAGTAAGTCAGTAAGTAAGTAAGTAAGTAAGCAAGTAAGTAGTCGTGGTGGTGGTGTTGAAGCGTCTGAGCGTTCGCCTTGTCGCTGCAAACATGAAAAAGCCCCATCACAAGAAGTTGAAAGGCTTACCGGCGTTCGCAACTTACATACGAGTCTATGGCATGCTGTCAGATCCACAACGACGGCTTGGGCTCAGTCGGGGCTTGTGAAGCTTGCAACCACCCTTGAAGTTTGACCTCGTGGAGACACTGCTGGGAAAGACTTGATGTAGGTCCTGGGACTCCTGTGAGGTAACCGCACCCGTCAAAGCGGTGGAACCAATTGAATGCATGTAGCAGGCCCTTCCCCCCCAATGACTAGGTGCAGCCGACAGTCAGAAACAGTGCCACTGGCAGCAGCGCTCGCAATGCCCATACGAGGCAAGTCGCCACACTGCGCAGTGCTCAGGACTACAGCTTCCGGACGGGCAAGCACGTGTACGGCTGGGGAGGTGGCTGTGCAGACATATGCATGTGTGCATGCAAGTACGTGTCTAACTTGAATGATTGACTGAATGAATGAAGGAATGAAATAGGAATAATGAAGTAATTAACAAAGTAATGAACAACGAACGAGACATAATGAACAAATCATGAGTGCATTAACGCACGAACCCAGGAATGTAAGAAATACATCAAGACGGAACCAAAGGAAGAGTTAATGAATGAGTGCAATGCAGGAGTGCAGGAGGCGGGAATGAATGAACGAATGAATGAATGATGTTATCAGTAAAGAAGGCCCGACGTAATTCAGAGGAACGTAGCACAGCAGAACGCCATGCATCCGAGTGACCATGCTCTGCTCACTTTAGGGCTTTTTTCCCCGAGGCTAGGGGCCGAAGCCATGGAAGCAACAATGCCATTATACATTGCAGCGTCTTTTCTGGAATGACACAACTGGGAACTGGACGACAAAGGAACCGGCGAGTTTGGGCCGTTTGGGCCATTCTCAACACTGATGTCTAGCCTAGCTGGAGAATTTATTCATGCATTTTTGGATCTGGGTGTGGCTGCTGAGCCCAGTTCCCCGGCCCGTCCAACATGCGCCAGCAAGGCTTCCAGTTCGATGATATGCTAGCATCTTGCCGACCTTCTTGAAGTCCTTTCTTTCGGCATTTTCCCCACGCTCAGTTTAAGATTCTGAACCCCACATGCTGCCTCGTGCTGAAACCGAGATCTTCCAAGCCCATGGCCGTCCTTCGCAGGGTGCCAAGACTTTCGTGTGAGAATTGTCCGTGTTACTCGCTTTCCAACTCCTAACATTCAAGTGCAGTCGACAGATGAAAGCCTCCCCTTTGCTCGTCTGCGAAAGAGCACCTGCTTTGCCGATAGTTCGGATCCCTCAAGCCGCTGGGCGTCGTCGATGCACAGACGCAGAAAATCGCAAAGCCGTGAACTCTAAGTCTCTAATTGCGCAGCCGTGGGTCCTGAGCGAGCTCGTCAAGCACCCCGCATCAAGACATGTTCGGATGATCGGTGTCAGATTACGCTGCGTGGATTGAGAGGCCTATCGCTCTTAGACTGTTCAAAGGAGCGTCATACAGCATTCATGTTGCTTGCAGAAACCTTTTGTTTGTGTTTTGCAATGCGAGGCAGGTTGGCTACGTTGGTCAGGGCTAACTTGCCGAAATGTCTTCAGCGACGCGGCAGCAAATAAGCACAGCATGTTGCTTGTGAAACAATACCGACTTACAGCCGTCGCGAAGTCTAGTCCAAAACCAACACAGCGCGATGCTCGCCAACCCCGAAGAGTGCTGCAGTGCTGCCAGCTCTGTTTATCTGCCTTAGGCCGAGTACGGTCACGAGCCGTGTCATGTGCGACAGGAACAGCACTCCCGCAGCCATCGCAACCCGAAGACTCCCCATGGCACCCGTCCGGAATTCACGACTCTCACTCTCACTGCAGCCGCAGAAAATTCAGCAGGATGCCTGGTGTAGCCTCTCCACCTCTGCGCGCAAAGCACGATTCTCCGCACCTGGGCAAGCATCCCCACGCTGCTACACTACACTGCGCAGAGTTGCCGTAGCCAAATCACAGCGGCCGTTTTCACAAATGTCATAAGAATGTCATTCATATATATATATATATTATATATATATATATACATATCTAACACACACTTATATAATACACACTGGAACGGCTGACTGATCCGTGCACAGCAGCCATGAGTTCTGTTGCCAATTAGCCTAAATCAAAGTGGCTAGCCTGCACCCCTACGCTAACCCCAAATACACGCAGGACCCTGTGCAAGAAATGCCCAGAAGAACGTTCAGTCCGCAAGTGCCCGTTGGTCCCAGGGCTGCTCTTACCTTTACCAGCAGAGTCTGCACTTGCAGATGGTCGAGAAGTGGCGTTTCAGCTGTTGCTGGCAGCCCAAAACCAACTCTCAAAGCCTTTTGATTCCGCAATGTAGAAGCTCAATGCAGAGTGACACACAGATACACACGGCAAAGCTGCGCTGCTAAGCTGTGGACCCAATCGTCCGACTTCCTGCAGCGTCTCAAAATGCTTCGGGTGCCCTCCACACAAGACACGAGTTGGCTATCCATGTGCCATTGACATGGCGACGCTTCATGGCATTATCAATTCCCTGCGAGGACAAGCCATCTGCACGAGCTCCCAAACCTTGCCCTCTATATGTCTGACACATCCTATACTACCTGAACAATCCAAAATGCCACTACCTCAGTTTTGCTACGGGCCCATCCAGCAAGATTCTGTGCAAAGAGACTACAGGCACCCAGCAGAGCTGAGAGGGCACTGAGCGATTGTCCTTCCCCGGCCTAAAACGACGACATATCTGCAAAACCAAGGTTCAAACCGAAAACTCCATCAACTGCATGTGCTGTTTGCCTGTCCCCCCGCAAAATAGTGTCCTTGTCCGCCCTGCCTGAATTCTAAAAGCAACAACCTTCCTCCAGACAGGCATACTCACATGATCTGTTCCTGCTCATACAGTAGGTCGGCCCGAATACGTCTCGACACCAAGCTGCATGTGAATTACAAATGCCAAGCAGACATTCTGTATTTTATGCCCAAATCGTTCCGACTCGGCCTCCAGAGCAGAGGTCGCGGTCTCATGGCTTGCACCAGGCGCCGCTGGAGCCCCAGCGTCCGCCTGGATCGCCTGGTTATTGTGAGGGGTCTGCATGCGGAACTGCAGAGGAGCGCAATCCAAGCGTAGGGAGTCGCTGATGCTAAACCCTCTATGAGGCTTAGGTGTAGCCTCAAGCCATGTTAATCCCTTCCCCCGAACATAAAACGGCCCCCCCCTAACTCCCAATTCAAAAAAAACATAAGGGATGTCTTTATCTCTATTCTCCGGTTTTGAAGGGCGCGGGATGATTTCGGGGTGGGATCTTCCGGAAAGTGTTTCTGGTATTAGGGGGGTGTTTAATAAAAGGGGGGGAAGGGATTACGTTCTGTCCGCTGCACTAAGGACAGACTTACTTGGTGCCGACACACACACACACACGAATGAATTCGTGATTAGTCGGGACGATACTTCGGAGACTGATGTAAACAGTTAAACCCTAAACCCTAAACCCTAAAACACCAAGAGCTGGGAGGCCTCTCGGCCTTCTCCCATGCTGGTCGGCATGGCGGAACTGGCGACTGCAGCAGAAATGATCTCCTCCGATGGCCGGGCTGGAAGACACTGACCGGACATCACCTATGTACTGTGAATTCGCGCCAAACTACTTGCGAGTTGACATAACTTGCAAAACATGCCCTTTTGCAGCCCTGAAAGCCCCTGAACTCCGAATGTATCGCCCCTGCAGGTGTTTTCAGCATGTCAGCATTACCGGAAGTGCCTCCCGTTACAGGGGTGCCAATGGGGGGGCACGCAACATGTAGTGGGCTGAGGCGCGGCTGTACATCCAGCTTACTGCCTAGACATGTGACATGGTTATGGAATCGAGGGAACGCAAGAACCCATCCTCAAACCCTCTGAAACTCCAGACCTAAACCTTGAACACTCCTCCGTCTGCAAGACCATGATATCATCAGGCAATTCCTGCGTCATGAAGACCTGGTGCAGGAAACCCTTGAACGACTGGGAAGAGAAGAGACGAGCCAAATATTAACATGACATGAACAGTCTGAGTCAGTCTGCGTCGCAATCTCATGAGCGGACCCAGGGGGTGCTGTGGTGCCTCTAGGTCTATCAGGGATCGATGCAAGTGCAGAATCATGTCGCACGAAGACCGCGTGCGTTAATGCAAAGCGCTTCATTTCCGTGTCTCTAGTATGTTTTAGTGCTGGAAGCAGCCACCCTGCACTGCAAGACTTAATTTTCAGCAAGAGGCTGGTAACTTCCACACAGCAGCTGGACATGCAAGCGACAAACGGCAAAGAGATGCTACGAGTCGAGGACCGCGCACTTGCAGAGTCCGCAACCGTTGTGCTGTCCTGGCTGTGTCTGCAGTCTGCAAACAAAGCTACAGTTCATCCCGCTCGAATACTCCATGTCCATGGATGCCCACAAGATGAGCTGCCAAAGCATGTCAGGCCCCAGCATTGTGAACGCAAAGTCAGCACAGGAAATTTCAAAGTGGCAAACCGCATCAATGACAAACCTGACTTCCTCCTCTTCAGTGACAGACCAGTATTCCTCCCTGTATTAATGGCTGGAGTACCCTCACACCTTTGCTGGGTGCTGGCAAAAGGGCAGAAGTGGGGTCCCGACAACCTGAGGCTTTGACAGCTCGTGTGCTGTCTTTCTACGGACAACACTGCCTTGATCAAATCTGTCGAAGGCGCTTTGATGGTCTGCTCTCCCCACAGCACGGCAGCTGGAGAAGGCTCCTTCAGAGCCGATGGATTTCAAGCTGACACATCTCCAGGCTGCTAGCTCGGCTGCAAACCCAGGATACTGCCACAACTACATGCCAAGACTTCTGCGAGGGCATCCACTGCAGGCGCACTGATCGCCTGTGAGGACGTGGTGCCAACTCGGAAAACATTCCTGAGGTCCAGTCTGTCCCTGCAGCCGCCTCCACGGAAGTAGCCTGTCCAGCCACCACTCCGGAGGCCTCCATGTGGCTTTGAGGCTTGCGGTTTGGAGCTGGCCCCTCTCGGGCGCGGGGCTCGTCATGGTAAGAGATGGTAAGAGCTGTCCCCGCAGCTGCCAACTGAAGCCGGCGAGCAGGGAAAGGTTGAAAGACTTGAACACCGCCAGGAAAAGCTCTCAACAGCTCTAAAGCACACCCAAGTGGGACCGCAGGTGAGATGAACAAATGACATGTTGCTTTCAAATGCCCCAACACTCGAAATCCAAAGACATTCACCTGGAGGAATCCTGCTCGGTGCGAACCGCAAGATCACACTCCTTTGTTTTCATGCACCACACAAGGGGCCCAAGTAGCCAGAGTGGTGTCCCCGCCAAACTGTAGCAGACGCAGTACACGGGCAAGTCGGGGCCATCGCCCGCGAACCCGCTTCGGTGTCGGAGCTGGCCGTGGTTCAACTGGGTGTTCCGGACTGTACGATGGAACGGGCTTGATGTGTTCGGCTTCACGCCACATCAAGCCACGGCAAAATTTCGAATTTGAGCTGAAAACTTGTAGGCACGCATCAGCTTGGCTGAAGCGTCAGTACACTGTCCACAATGTCAGCAGTTCCGTCTGGTGTTGCTTAGCTCTGTGTCTGCGCTGGTGGGTGCTCCTTCGGAACTCGGAAAATTTTCGCCAGGGCATTCGCAAGTGGTCGAAGCTTTCGAGTCTGCCGCTCGTCCATTTGCACGAGCTCATCGTAGGACTTGATTCCTGGAAGGTGGGCCAGAAGCGCTAGCACATGCGGTGCCCTCAACGAAGATTCGTGGCTGATGCAGTGGGTATATGATGCTGCCGGGTGTCCCACAGACTGGGCCTTTTCTCCAAGCATGAAGTCTTGCTTTGTGCCTGGTACAGGCTCAGCGATAATGGCTGCTGCAATGATAAGAATGCCTCGTGTACTCAGCAACCTGCTAACTCACTCGGCTTACGGTGTTGTCATGCTGATTCCCGTAGACATGCCGGGGTCGTTGCTTTGGAAACGGGAAATAAGAGCACATGAAAGCTAAATAAAGCTGCTGGGAAGTAAATACAAAGCTAAAACAGCTGCAGAAAAGCAACGTGAAAGGATCATAATTCTATAGTTATTACTCATTTTTCCCATTGGGGCACAACTGCAGAAACCTCAGGCTCGGACCTGTGCGAGACAAAGGGAGAGAGACAGAGAGTGAGAGTGACGGGCACGCGGCTTTTTGTTTAGCTTCCCCCCCCACACTGGCTCCATCACAGTGCAGGGTCACTACCCGTTCACCTACCTTTTCGGCACGGCTTTGCAGCCCGTGTAGCGGGCATATATACATTCCACGAGGGAGGCGTCTGTGAGGGGGGAGGAGGTAATTACCTCGTCCTCGTGCAAGCTGATATGCTTGGCGGGCTTGCAAGCGGCCATGGTCAAAATTATTGTTTCCAGAGCAATCCCTGGACAATGCAGATCTTGTTTTCTGGGCTACCCCTGTCATCTCGCAGACCTACACCTGTTCCAGTCAATGTAATATTGCTGCACTTAGCGTAGTTGCCAGTGCGAGCTGCCACCAGTAGCTGCAGGAACCCAAGAGGGCATCTCACAACGCTGCGACACCAATCTAGTCTCTTCTGCACCATATTCCTTTTTGATAGTCCTACATGAGCAGCTGCGACGTCCCCTCATCTCTGGTAACAAGGGGCATGGCAGACTACACGCAGGCACACATCTGAGCTGTCGGGAGATGACTTCATCAACTTCCAGGCGGACGGGCATCACACTTGACTTTTAAGCCTCAGGTGCTTGTCTGGAACAGCCAGACTCACGAGAGAAGGGCCTGTTTTTAACTGCGGCTCTCGTTTTTTTTTCAGGCCCAACTTAGGGCAAAAATAAGTCTTCGCTCTACAACATGCCCGAAGCTGCGCCAACACAGGCACCCTCAACATGACAGTGCTGCCTTCGATGATGCGGAGCTTCTTGGCCATGGCTAAGCCAATGGTCACCATGACATTCACGGCTTGCTCTCGTGGAGGAGGCAAACTCACTCGGCTCTTGGCCTCGAGCACAGGCTGGGAGAGCAGAGGATGGCCCAAGCCCTCCTAGACTCCTAGTCCTATAGTCCTAGTCACCTTTAAAGTAGCTTGGTCATGGCCTCCAATGCCAGTTTCTGAAGTGCGTGAGCATTCGGTCGCTGCTGCCGGTCAAAAGCTGCAAATGGATCGTCCGCGTTCTCCTCGGAGCACTTGGAGGATACAAGCGGCTACGAGCTTGGGTTCATGAGCCATGCAAATTCTATCCGCCTAGGCCTTTGAGAATGGATGAGTACTGTCTTGGTAAGCTGTGGATCATGTGGCTGCGCAACCATGCTTGTCCCAAATCCTGAACCTTCAAACGAGCCCCGGCCCTCGATAAATGGTTCCGGCCTTCAGAACGACACCCAGCACAGCGGCATCCTCCAAGCCGCTGTTGATGCCTGGCATGGGATCGACAGAAAATAGATGGCTTGGTCTTGGTACGGTTCCGCCTTGAACCGGGGAATGTGGCCGCCATGATTGTCATATTGAGAACAATGCTGTTTTTTCTTGTCTGTTCATGCGTTCCGACAGCGGTGATGTTGATGTTGAGGATGGGAATCGTCCTGATGCTGCTGATGATGGTCATGATCGTGAATGATGATTATGCTCGTCGGTTTTACTACGGTATCACGAATGTTGCAAGAAGCAGTAGTAGCCGTCGCAGTGGCAGTATCATGCAGCAAAAGCAGCAGCCGCAGCCGCAGCCGCAGCCGCAGCCGCAGCCGCAGCCGCAGCCGCAGCCGCAGCCGCAGCCGCAGTGCCAGTAGCAGCCGCAGTGCCAGTAGCAGCCGCAGCCGCAGCCGCAGCCGCAGCCGCAGCCGCAGCCGCCGCCGCAGCCGCAGTGCCAGTAGCAGGAGCAGGCGCTGTGGTCGTTGTGGTTGTTGTTGCTGTTGTTGTGGTCGTCGTCGTCGTCGAGGGAAAGGTAGTGGTAATGGAGTAGTAACGTGGACGGATCTTTTGATATGTTTGCGATCCTTCCTCGGGAAGCTGATACATCTCGAGAGCCACCCAAGACCACAGTCTTCCACGCCCCGAATTCCATGAATGCCAAGGCCATGGGCCTTCCCCCGTCGCTGGCTGCACAGCATGTGCGGCATCCCCAATGAGGCAGATCCAGCCTGCGTCCGGAAGCTCCCAGGAACTTTGGGTCTTCGGGAGGTCTCAGCTGACTGCTCTCTTAGACGGGTATCGACCCGAACAGGGATCCCGTCGAAGTTATGTTCGCTCACATTGTTGCGATTGTACTATATAGTAAGCTGGTGTGCTCTGATACGGGCAATCCGAAACTCGTGCGACCCATGTGACAACACCCTGAAATCCAACTGTTGCCTGCTGGATTCAGGGAGGAGCACTTGACAACGACGCCGCCGAAGGCTGGGCAATCATAGAACTTGCGATAAGCCTTATCGTGCACTCCGAACTGTTGAAAGCGGCGTAGAGGCTTTGTGCACAATCTGTCTGTGCGGGTAATCGCTCGGGACAGGCGACCTGAAGCTTAGGCTGCAGCCTCCTCATCCAGCAAGTTGTCGGCCGTGAACTTGGCATGGGTCTGAACATACTCCTTCAGTTTCTGCAAGTTGCCATCCGTCGCTTCCATGCTCGTGAGAAACTCCTCATCAGATTCTGGCAAAACCCGGAGGGATATGCTCCACTCACCGTTAGGCTGCAGGCAAACATAGCCTTTGTCACCCAGGACAAAGTGAGTGTCTGTGTTGACCTCAGTTTGTCCAGGAACGCCCTTGGAGTTCATGAAGCGCAGTTGGAAGCCCCAAGGATCTGCATCGGCGCTGAAGTCTGCCACGTGCTCCTGGCACAAGCGCCGAACCTTCGAGCGGTTTCCATCCGCTGCGACCAGGCGCTGGGAAACTGCCGTCTTCTGCGAGCCATCTGGAAGCTCAAAGGTGCAGGTCCGAGCCTGAAAATCAATGCTCACGAGCTTGTGCTCCCAAAAGAAAGAGATCTTCTCATTGGCCTCTGCAGCCTCTAAAAGCAAATGGGAGGCTTGGTCTCGCATGATGCAGGTCCCATAGGTAGGGACCTTGGCCACCGTCCTGTTGCCGGGCACAATGTGCAGCTCCTTCACTGAGAGTCCGGTCTCCTTCGCTCTCGCCGCGATCGCCGGATCGAGGGACTCCAAGGCAGACAGTCCCCGGGCATTCAGCACCACCTGGAGCAAACTACAACTGCTATGGTTCGAAACCAAACCCCCCTCTTCGAACAACGGCTTCTAGCTTTGACTCAACCAGTGGACCGGGTACGAGCCGAAGACGTTCTCAGGGCGTGCTCGGCCCTCAAAGACAGCAACCGTGGAGCCAGCCTGCAAAGCTGGTCGGTCAGGTCTTACAGATAAACGTGTGCAGAGGTACGTATATATCTACGTGTGTACGTAAGTACACAAATAAAAATAAATACATATATATATATAT